CTCACGTTAGAGTTTTGTGCTTCAAAGCTTCAGAGTTGTGCGGTAAACCCAAGAATTGTTGTCAGCTGATAAACTAGTTGGTTAAAACTTTCTAGACAAAGTTCCACCTCTGCATCATAAGGTGTGAAAGTCTGCCTGTTTGAGGACGTAGAAGTCAGATGGATGAAGTGGCAGAAGACAGCAGAGTCTTACTTCCTGATATTTGGACATCTCGCCTCTGATTGGATAACAGCAACATGACTCTAACACTTACTCTGCTTGCTCTGCAACATGGATGTGTTTTGTACAAAAGGCCAGACATGTGATGCTCTCTTCAATCTGCTCCTTCTCATTTCTATGTAACAACAACAACAACAATACTACTACTATTAATATTCATAACAATAATAATAATGTTTAATAATAATCAGCTCTGCAGTCTCTGGCAGCACCAGACCGGGTCTCAAGACGAAACTCCGTGTTTAAACCCCGCTGTAGTCTCATCCTGCTCGACGGCCCGGAGGCCCGGCCCTTGAACAACACTCTGGCTGCAAGAACCGACGGCTTTGACAGCAGGGCTTTGAGAACCATCGAGAACATCAGGTGGCCCCAGCGGATCTCCAACCGTGTGCTAAGAAAACACACACGCCAGCCAAGGGTATCATGCCGGCGCAACACCGCACCCACTGGCTCGGCCAAGTTGTCCGTCTTCCCTTTTAGCATCCGACCGGAGCCATTCTGCAGGTTGACCCAAGGCCCGCCAGCTGGAGACGACCACAAGGTGAACAGCGAGGCAGGGATGAGATAATAGATAGTGCCCTGTGCTTACCTGCTGGGGGTGGTGTTGTCTCCATGGTGAGGCTTCCTTTTGGAGGAGCGTACAGGTGTGGGTGTGGGCGGGCCGGGCCGGTCCACCAGCCGCAGGGTCTGGAAGGTGTGATGGTTCAGGCACTGCTCTGTGAGAAAACGCTCCGTCGGGTTCAGCAACAGCAGGTTCTACAGCACCAACACAGAGAGGGAGCCCATGAGTCCACAAGACATCCAGCCCTCACAAGCGAGCCGAAGCTGTCGTATCTTCGTGAGTCATCACCATTACGAGGAGAGTCAGGCTGCCTCTGCGAGCAAGCGTGTCCCACAGTCACCAAACAAGCCAACAAAGATGTGAAATATCATTTGTGACATTTGATTTGTCTTCTCCCGCTTGAATTAATGTGTTTAATAACCTGTCTCTGTGGGCTTTAATAAAACTGAATCCTGCACTAATGCACTGGAAATAACAGCAGCGACAGGAAAATGGTGCGTGAACTCTGAGTGCAGCTTTGTTTGCCACAACTAAAACGTAAGGTGGACAGAGAACACACCCCTGCAAGCTGCAGAGCGTTGCATTAGAGACGAGTAAAGGTAACAGACGGCAGGTTTTATCTTAGGAAACCGTGTTATTAAAGAGCAAGTCACCCCCAAATCAACTATTTTTTTCTGATAAACTATATAAATGCGTGTCTAATCGTGCTGCAGACACGTGTAGTCAATAGTTTTGCACTTTAGTGCATTTTAGTTAAAATTTAAATTTTCTGCCTGAAACTGTCAGTGTTGTGCTGTTGTCAGGTAAAAACTCTTCTGCATTTGAATTTAAATCTGCCATCGCTATTGGCTAAGAGGTATGCTATGATGTAAACTGGTACATTATGATGTCACAATGTCGTTAGTGTGTGTATTTGTTAGTGGCTCCACCCTCTCGGTCTGCTAGGCAACAGCATTTGTTGCATTTTTCAAACATGAAGTGGGAGTGAAGTACGCTTCTTGTAAGGGGTGACTTGCTCTTTAAGCAGAGGGATGCCTGTCCTCTCTGAAGCCAGCACTGGGGTGACACCAAGTTATCAGTGAATCATTACCTGCTGGGAAAGGCTGTAGTGCACAAACAGAGCACGTTGCTGTCAGCGAGCTCCTGTTTACAGTACAGACAGCAACAACAGCAACCAGCGTGTGAGAAGAGACCCAACATCAGTGAAGACACTTTGCTCAGTCACGACGTAAACGTGATGGTAGGGATGCTCTCAAAAGGAGGTGTGGATGAAAATGTGTGGGGTTTATCCGCTTTTACGGAGTTGTTATGCAGGACTCACCTGAAACTGGTAAAATTAGTCAAAAATTGCAGCATTTCAACATGATTTCATCTAGATTTACCCTCAGCAGATCCAGCAGGCCGCCGCCAATGATCCCCAAGTACCTTCGCTCCAGAGTCTGAGGGTGGCTCACAGCAGGAAACTGTACAATAAGCAGAAAATAGTCCTGTAAGGATTTATTAGTACTTTATAAATAGTAATGAGTTGAGGCGGGTAGTTTAGCATGAAAAAGAAAACCTTGTAAACTAATAATAGAAACAAACATGTTTGCAGTGGCAGTTTGAGCGATGGGCCTCAACACCCAGGTTTGGCGTTTGGGCCCATGATAAATCCAGTCAGTCTGCAGAGTGACCCCTCCCTTCTTCTGCAGGCGGCCCTGAGAAGGTGTCGCTCACTGAGCAGGCAGGGAGGGGTGTCTCCAACGATGTCCCACATTTTGACTGGTCTTCAAAGATTAACACTGCCAGAAAGAACTGAACTACGTGGACCTGGTAGGGTGAATCAGTCAACTATCCGCTGTGGTTAAAGCTAAAAATCTCATCATCCACGCTGTCCTGTCTGACCTTTGAATCAGCAAAGGCTTGCATGCATGCAGTGATCTTCACACATATAAACTACTGTTTCTGCCAGGAAGCCTATCCATTTTCACTCTTGTAATATCTTAACAAATATAACATTTTAGATGATGATCAGACGTTCCTGGCTGTCGGTCTGGTTTTTAGGGTTTTGAACGGACTTGCACCTCCACCACTGCAGGAGTTTATACAAAAAAAAAATGCGTACAAGAGCACAAACCAGGGGTGACTGTAGTGGTGCAGGACTAAATCCAGCTGTGTTCATCAGAGGAACGCACTCAAGGACTAAAATACCCGATCACATCAGAGACATGATAACTACACGATTTAAAAAAACATTAAAACAGTGGGCAAAAATAAACCAGCCCTGAACCCACATGCATGATCTGTTTTCTTTTCTCTTCTTAATGTTTTTTCTTGTAAATGTAATTGTGTTTGTGGTGTGGTGTGGTGTGGTGTGGTGTGGTGTAACTGTAGTGCATTTGTATGAGGTTTATAGTGCCTGTCTGAGGACTGCAGATGCAAATTAGCAACTAATCAAATTCTGGCGTATTTACATCGACACTGACGTGTTGACCAGAATGCATTGTCCTAATTCAATAAACAAATAAATGAAACGACATGTTCTATGTTCTATGTTGTATGTTGTATGTTGTATGTTGTATGTTCTATGTTCTATGTTCTATGTTCTATGTTGTATGTTCTATGTTGTATGTTCTATGTTGTATGTTGTATGTTGTATGTTCTATGTTCTATGTTCTATGTTGTATGTTGTATGTTGTATGTTGTATGTTCTATGTTCTATGTTCTATGTTGTATGTTCTATGTTCTATGTTCTATGTTCTATGTTGTATGTTGTATGTTGTATGTTCTATGTTCTATGTTCTATGTTCTGTTATATGTTGTATGTTGTATGTTGTATGTTGTATGTTCTATGTTCTATGTTGTATGTTGTATGTTGTATGTTGTATGTTCTATGTTCTATGTTGTATGTTGTATGTTGTATGTTGTATGTTGTATGTTCTATGTTGTATGTTGTATGTTCTATGTTCTATGTTGTATGTTGTATGCTGTATGTTCTATGTTCTATGTTGTATGTTGTATGTTCTATGTTCTATGTTGTATGTTGTATGCTGTATGTTGTGCACGATCTCTGCTCAAGTCTCTGCCGTTCATGGTTTTTGATTTTTGATCACACTAGCAGCATTCCTCATGAACAGCTGAACTGGTCCAATTCAAACTGTCAGGAAGTAATCCTTGGACATGCATTTACAATTGTTGAACTTTTAGAGTAAAACCCATTCAATATGGCTACCACAGCTAATGATCTACACCCGGGGTTGGCTACTTATGCAGCACGGCTTAGCTCCAACACACTTAACTGAATGGTTGATTCACTTGTTCACCAAGTTATCAGGCTCTGCAGAAGTCTGATAATCAGCTACTGGTTAAAATCAGGGAAAAAACTAAAACATGCTGGACAGCAGCACTTCAGAGCCAGAATTGCCACCCATGATCTACACCCTGAGTGGTACCAGATCATGCAAGCTTGTGTGATATTTCCAAGATTCGTCTCAGGAAATGAACACGGCTTTTTAAACATTTTTCTGCTCAAGTCAAATAGAAATAATAATTCTTCTCAGACAGGTGAACCCTTAAAGTCTTCAGCATGTATATCGCAGCTAAGTCCCACATTGTCCCAAAAATGTTTGTAAAATTCCCACAGAAGGTGTCACCATGACTCCTTCTCACATCCAGAAGCTGTTCTTTTTACATCACACTCGTCTGAGTGTGAGAGAGAGGGTGCTGGAAGATGTCAGCGTGACGGAGCAACCATCCAACACCCCGTGCTTCTGACTGGACAAGTCCTGATTAAAACACGGATTCAAATAACTAAACGTTTTTACTTGGTGTTCTTTTTTAATCTCGTCTTTATAAGTTAATTTGCCTGTGGGAGAGGAGGCTTACAAGCAAATGTCCACTCATTAGTTACGCGTACAGGCTGCCCACGCACCTAAACCACAATAAGCACTGAACTCTTGTGGAGGGAGGGATCATTTTTCATTCAGGGAGACATAATAATAGCTGCCACTCAATGTCCAACACACGCGTCTCACCGCAGAGACGTTTTCAGAGCAGAAAAGCTTCATTTTGATTTACGAGCCGAAAGTGAGACGGAATTTTATTTGAAGAAAAAATTCATGTTAAGGTGGGACATCTGCAAACTAATAATGTCAGCCCTGGTTGTAGGCAGCAGAGGTTTGATGTTCCACCAGCCTGCCACAGAAGACTATCACAGCCTTCCTTCACACTGCATAACGGGTCCATGATGCACCATGAGTCACTGGGATCCGATCAGTCACGGCACAGAAAACTTAGCCAGGAGAAAATCAAAAGCTGGGTGCAAATGCAGAGACACAGCAGGAAAGGAAATAAATAAGAGATGAAAAAAGGAGGAGAGAGGAGATTAAGTGGAGGGCGGCGGTAACAAGATGGATGAGAGGCGACTCGCGGGTTAGGAGGGTGAGGGGCGGCCTGACGTTACCCTCAGCCCGTGGAAGCGAGGATTGTTATAGAAGAGCTTCATCTGCTCTGGAGGCAGGGGTCCTAACACTTTCTGGATGGTGAAGAGTTGGTCGATCTCGCTCTCCCCCGGGAACAGAGGCTGCCCGTCGCTCAGCTCTCCTAAGATGCAGCCCACTGACCACATGTCCACCGCTTTGCCGTAAGGAGCCCTGTCACCATGAATTTAAGGGGTTAGGAACGGAGACGAAGCATGACAGTGGCTGACAGAACAAAGCCGGGAAGACAGGAGGCGTACCCGAGCAGGAGCTCTGGAGAGCGGTACCATCGAGTAGCCACATACTCGGTGTAATTGGCATCAGTCCCCTCAGACAGATTACGTGCAAAACCTGGAAAGAGAAGACGGGCAGGACATTTTATTTAATGAGGAGTTTTATGAAACAGGCTGAGAAGTCAAACAGGATTTCAGATGAGCACCTCCCTGAAAGCTCTTTATTCTTTCAACATGTCGTATATGAAGTGAATAATATATAAGTAAAAGCTTCACTGATGGCTAAGCTGAACTAACATTTGAGTTAAAACTATTAATATAAATCGTAATAATCAGAATCCTTAGCACAGCTCCAGACCCCACCACTGCACAGCAGTTCGTGCTAACTCACTCTGTTGAATCTGTACAACACTTTGCATTTCAGTGTTTTACTTTGGATTATATGTGTGTTATAAGCAGTGGCGCCCCCAAGGGGTGGCCATGGCCAACCCTACAGCCAGGAACCCAGTCTTCTTTAATAAGTCACATTATTGTTCACACAAACCATAAATGCGATCAGATGTTTTTATGAACATGAATAAAGGTGCATTTGTTGCATTACTACAGGCTAAACTTTCCCAGAGTTACCTCAAGGTTCAATTATGTGTGCCCCCCCCCTCCAAATCTTTTCTGGCCCCATGGCTGCCCCTATGAAAGTTTTCTGGGGGCGCCCCTGATTATAAGTGAAGATATCTTTTATACATTGTCATTCTGCTGTGTTGTGTGTAGAATGAGAAAAAAATATATTTAATCCCTGTTGGAAAAAGTCTGTAAGACGTGGACAAAGTTATGCATGCTAATTAGAGCCCTGCACTGAAGCCCTAGGCCCTCGGGTCGGCCCGGCCCGACGGCCCGAGGGCCTAGGGCTTCGGGCCAACGACTGTGTAATTACCTCGGACACGGGCCGGGCCGGGCGCCTTTATTTTTAATCGAATTCATAAAAAAAAGAAAGACTTACACGCAGCAGCAGAGCCCTGTGCGGGACTGTTTTCTTCATCTCGCTCCCGCTGAATTTCTGACCATTACCGCCCGCACCTGCAGCATGCACGTCTACTCCCGCCCGCAACCGCAAAACTCTGAGAAATAGTTACCTCACAATAAAAGAGATGTATTGAGTTTGCGTCCTCAACATGTTATTTTATAGGCTGTCAGCAACCCGCGGCTCTTCCATCCATCTGGTGCGGCTCTCTGTGCTTGTAAAATAATGAATGGATATTTAAATAAAATGCTTTACATTTTACTGCATTAATTTTACATCTGTAAGTCAATTCTATGTAAAGATTGTCTGCGTAAACCTGAACAGGTCCAACCCGGTCTTACTGTGAGACCGGGTTGACGGGTCACGCTTGTGCGTAATCATAGGCGCTTCCTGAGCTGAAGAGGATGTGAGATTCTGGGCTTCTCCTCAGACGGCTCCTGGATGTGTCGCCACATTGGAGACAGGAACAAGCGCTATTCAGCCAAAGTTTCATCATCAGGAAGATTTTCTAAGTGACAAGTCTCTCTGAGAGACAGGGTTTGGAAAACACTCGCTTCAGTGGGAGGAATCTTCCCGCTTGCGCTCTGGTTCTGCGATGCGCTCCAAACCCCTCTCCACAACTTCAGCTCGCTGTGCACATATGCGCTGAGCAGCTCAGAAGTTCAGATGGGAATCTTGTCTTGAGTGACTTAGCAACATCTGCGATGTGCGTAGAATAAAATGTCAGTTCATCTGCATGCGTCGGGGTAATTCTTTCTATTCTTTCTCCGTCAAAATAAACGGTCAAATACGGGAACTATCCGGTCAGCACAAGCCCTGCTTTTAACTGTTCTGCTTTCTTGTGAAAATTGTTGGAAAGAGATCAAATTTAACTTGATTACCACCAGAGCCAGGTGCACTGTGCCGTTATCTCCGTGACGGTAAATGAGGGAAAAACAAATTGATCGGATCCTGCACGTCTTAACACCTCGGTCAGGATTGACGCACTTTGCATTCATTTAGTTGGTTAAAAAAAAGTCGGGCTCGGGCTCGGGTCGGGCCAGAGAATCCTGAAAACCTTTTCGGGCCGGGTCATGCTGGGGCTCCACCCCGTGCAGGGCTCTAATGCTTATGCCCTGTGAAAACTTGTCTAACATATTTACACAATAACAAAGAAACGTGGATTTCAGCAGTTTTACAAGATAATTCAAGAAATCTGAAAACTTTGATGACTTTTTCTATTTAAGCTCTGATTCTGTGGTTCCTCCATCTCTTGGCCCTCAGCTGTTTAAACTCATGAAAAGGACAATATTATAATAACAATGACTAATTTAGGATTATAGTGGAAGAAATAAGTTTAATAGCAATTATAGTATAAGTCTGAGAAAAGTCAGAGTAACAGCAACAGTTCGCTCAAAACCCAACAACCCTTTATTTATTAACTTATTTATTAACTTATTTATTAACTTATTATTAACTTATTTATTAACTTATTTATTAACTTATTATTAACTTATTTATTAACTTATTTATTAACTTATTATTAACTTATTTATTAACTTATTAATTAACTTATTATTAACTTATTTATTAACTTATTAATTAACTTATTTATTAACTTGCTAAATTAAAAATGACTTAAAATGCTCAGTCTCTAGAATCTTACATTAAACCTACTGACCTAAAGGTAAACAGTAAAAGACACATTTGCGTCTGGACGTAATCAGTGTTAACAAATGAGACTGAGCTCTGACTTGGTCACACGTACTGATGTTTTCTTGTGATTTTAGCCTTTAGCCTTAGGAGAGCAGGAGGTAAATGTACAGAATGTGAAACATTCTCATTAAACCTTTTATAAAATCTGGTTGTTTTTCCTGAGCTCCACATTCCAAACAACACACCCAAAGAGGAAGTCCCAAACACAGCTCTTCCCAGTCTGTTCCCTCCATGCCTCTGGCTGATGCAACGCAAACAGCAGGTCTCCAGTCTCTCACTCCAGAGTGCCTGCATGATGTTGGCGATGCCGTGTTTGCCCTGCTTGTTGTGGAGCCTGAATCAAAGCCTGATTAGACGCTTGTTTCACAACAAGTTTCATTAATTGAGATGAAAGATAATGGGGCAGCAGCAGAGGGGGGTCCACCCAGAGCTTTGCCTCCAGCTCTCACCAACCGCTGGTTCCAGCCAGAAAAAAGTTGAAAGTTACTCTAAAACACACACAGCTCTGGCTATCTGGTAACTTTACAACATGAGGACTTAATGGTGGTTCTCACCAAAGTCACACAGCTTGAGGACGTCATCGGAACTGATGAGAAGATTTTCTGGCTTTATGTCTGAAGAGGAAGAGCACAGATGGGGAGTGAGCTGACATCATCATTACATCAGGTTCTGTCACCACATGTTCTGCTCAGAGGTAAAGAGGCAGGATTCATCGCTGCTGTTTCACCAGAGAAACAATCCAGACTGTAAAGAGATGCTATTCCCATCCACCAAACTGTGTCCTGTGTGTGTCCTGGCGTACTGCAGGCCTTCGGATGCTGATCTGATGCTAGTGTGCGCCTAAGGCACACACGGGCCATCTGCTTCCTTGGTCTTCTGCCACTTTTCAACCAGCCCCCCCCCCCCCCCCCCCCCATAAATAACGTCATGTTGGGTTACAATTCATCTCAAACTTTTTCAACAGAGAAGAAAAAAACTACAGAGTTGAGAGTTGGTAGAGAAGGTACCTTTACGTTTTAAAGTATCTGTTAAACAATCGTTGAGATTTACTGTTGGAGTTGGAGAGAACTGATTTATTCTGTTGCTGTTGAATATTTTTCACAGCACTGTGTGGATTTATAATTTTCCAGTAAAATCTCTGGTGCTGGTTTGCTTCTCAGAGTCTGAGCTCCTGCTGTGGTGCAGTCTCTAGAGAGCTCGTGAGCATCTTTCAGCATGAAGGGCCTCTTCTCTGCCTCACCGTTACTGTATTTATACTATAAATCCATATAAACAACAAGAAGAGTGTGGATATTACCTCTGTGAACAATGTCATGCTTATGGCACCAGTGAATAGCTTTGATTAACTGGAAGATGTAGCTGCGCACTTTGTCCGTTGGCACGCCGGTGGGTAACTCCTCAAGAAGCTCAAGCATGTTCTAAAAAAAGGAAAAGGCACAGTTGAAGAACCCCAGGATGTGTTGAGGTTGGATTGAAGAACTGGAGGACTCTGTGAAGGCCACACCATTATGGTAGAAGCTCACCTTCTCCACATATTCAAAGACAAGATACAGCTTCCCTCTTCTGCGAAAGGCCTCTTTCAGCTCAACAATGTTCTCCTGCTTGAGAGTGCGGAGCATCTTAAGTTCCCGTAACGTTGTTTCTTTAACCTCTTCATTTTCTGCATGAAGGTGAGACCGAGAGGACAAACTGTGAAACCTTCCGTGTAGTGAATATGGCATGTAAAGGCACACAAAAGGGGTGATCTGACGAGAATGAAAACCCTCTTACCTTCGCTGTCCTTGAATTTCTTAATGGCAACAATTTCATTGGTTTCCTGCAAATGAAACACACAAAAACCTTAGAAATCAAGCCTGCTGGCTGCTGTTTCCAGAGGAAATACACGATGACTCATCACATACGGTCGTTTTGCTGCTGCTGTTCAGGGTAGCTCACAGGGTGTGTTTTATGTTTATTAGGTATGTCCCAGTACATTGTCAGGACCCAGGAGAGAGCATGAGATGATTGTGTGATTGGTACTCGAAGTACAGCTAGAGTCTCACTCCTCAGACTCTACTGTTCCCCATTTCAGGGTGGCCTTTTATTGTGGGCAGTATAAGGTACACCTGTGCACTACTCATGATGTCGGATCAGCATCTTGATGTGGCACACCTGTGAGGTGGGATGGATTATCTCAGCAAAGCCCAGGTGCTCACTATCACACATTTAGACTGATTTGTGAACAATGTTTGAGAGAAATGGTGATATTGTGTATCTGGAATGAATTCTAGATTTTTAAGTCCATCTCATGAAAAATCGGAGCAGAAACAAAGGTGTTGCGTTTATATTTGTGTTGCGTGTATATGCAGAAAGAACACAACATGCTTCAGCCACTCTTCATGGACGTGGCTCTTCGTGGATCCTGACTAGGAAAGATCAATGGAGGAATGAAAGAAAATACAGAAAATACTTGAAAAAGTTTACAGTCAACTGGAATATTTTGCACTAACACTCCCTGTCAGCTGTTCAAAGTCATGGCCGACATGTAGGAATTATAATGAAGCACAGAAGGAAATGAAGGACTAATCAGCAGTGAGTCACTGTCTTCTAAAGTCACTTCTTGTTATCCCTTCACAAAGTTCTTCCTGAGAGATGCCCAACCGCCTCTAGCCCCATTCCTCGACATGTCCTACTTAATGCCGGTATTTCTGCCGGTGGCTCAAAGCTGTGCTCCCGTTCAGTCCACCCACCCCTCCAACTCCCCTCCTCAGAAAGCCAAAGGCAGCATTGCACCACTCCAACATGAATCACAGTGAGCACTGAGCCCTGCTTCAGCACGAGGAAATATGAGATGACACACGGCGGGGTCAGAGCTTCATATGCATTAATGTACGCTCCTTATGCAAGAGCGGAGAGATGATGCACAGCAGCGTTCTGACTAAACTCATTTGATGTCAGATCTTCAGGACTGACCTGGAATCATTCTGACGCTGGTCTCATGGACTGTGATTGATTTGAAATAAATAATCACATGTAAGTCCGAGGTGCAATTATAATTCCCAAACACAACATCACAAACCTCAGGTGGTAGGTCCCTAATATAATAATGATGATGATGAGTGTCACTGACAAACTTGATAACAATTTTACAAATCCATTGAGACAGTAGATTTCTCTTGTGGAAGTAAGTAACATCACTAGTTTTAGCTTCCAAGGCAACTTGAACCAACTGTTACTCAAGGATACTAGCAAAGATGAGCCCTAAAGAAGTACCAGGAAAACGAGACAAATTTGATCTTTTTCACATGTTTAACCTTTTTATTTAGATTTTCTAAATTAAAACCTGATAAATGGGAAATGTGCTGTTAGTTTCCTGCCAGGACATCATGTGTGTTTCTGCAGATATTAGTCCAACAGACCAGCTTCCAGAACATTCTCCTGCAGACATTGAGACTAGACTTCTTAACTTCATTTCATGTGTTTGTATGCATGTTAGCATCTCTGTTTTGACTCTTAGACTGGCTTTAATCTTGTTGTGAACGCATCAACATTTTGGTCTTTATTAAAGCTCCCGTGTTGCAACTGCAGGTGATTTTATTATGGTCCCACTAAAGATGCATTCAGCTAAACAAAAAAGGAAAAAGGGTTTTAGAAGCTCTTCTAGGTTTTCAGCTCAATACATTTAAAAATGTAAACATTTACCAGTTTAAGATAGAGAATCTTTTTACTTCCATTCTTGCTGACTTTGTTATTTTCATACAGCTGTGGCTTACAGACTTCACCAAGAGATGTTTCCAGTTATCGTCTTTCAGCCCGTGTCCCACTAGGTTGAGACTGTTGGTGACACTCACGTAAAGCACTTTCATCACTGCTTCTCCCTGTTTTAACTTTACAAACCACCAGTCACACTACGCAGCTGGCGGTTTCAACCCATGCAGAGATCACATGTAACCTCCTTCTTTGCTCCGGTTCACATCATTCATTATAAACAGTTCAAGTTATTTCTGTTTCGAGTGCAAACTGCATGATGCTGTAGTTGCAGAGATAATAGTGTTCACACAAATGTCTCCCATGCTAATCCAGGAGCATCTCGTCAGACTCTGATGCTTTAGTGTTCAGGGATCAGTGTCCGAGTCTGTTTTTATACCATTTAATTTTTAACCCTTTAAGGATCATCATGTGACAGTGTAGCTCATTTATGCAGGACTAAAGGCAAATGGGTTGAATTATTATTTAATATAGACACGCTGTCACTCCCACATGGCCTATATATCACAGATTCTGGGCCGATGTCCTCAAGCCTACTATGTTTCTAAAATCAGACAACCAGAGTTACCATGTCTATTGTACATCCAGCAAAAAGGAAATGAAATGTGAAGATTTGCAACTTGGACCAAAGGGGCAGGTGAATAAATACATGACATTATGCATCATAGTACCACAGGCATGAAAACAGGCAAAAACACAGGCGCAGAGACAGACAAGGGAAACAAGACGACAGACTCAAAGACAGGAGGATCTGACACTAGGTGAACCAGGACAGTTTTAAACAGAGACGAGGATTACAGGCGAGCTGATAACTGATGGGAAGCAGGTGTGCAGACTAGTAAAAATCCAAACTAACTGAACCAAAGACAGCAGAGCATGATATAAAGATTTTAACTCATAATTTCAACCAGATGACATTTAAAAGTGCATATGGCATCTCTCATTTGCTTACTTCGCACTTCTTGCAATGCAAATCAGCATTTTTCCTTTGTGCATTACTTTTCTGAGAGGTTTGATGAATTTTCTGTCCATAACCTGGGCTGCCACCTTACCGTGGTGGAGGGGTTTGAGTGTCTCAGTGATCCTAGGAGCTAAGTTGTCTGGGGGTTTCTGCCTCTGGTAGGGTCACCCATGGCAAACAGGTCCTAGGTGAGGGATCAAACAAAGAGCAGCCTGAAGACCTCTTATGATGAATTATATAAATGGACACCGTGTTCCCTCGCCCGGACATGGGTCACCAGGGCCCCCCTCTGGAGCCAGGCCTGGAGGTAGAGCACGTTGGCGAGCGCCTCGTGGACGGGCTTTCACCCATGGAGCCCGGCCGGGCACAGCCCGAAGAAGAAACGTGGGTCCCCCTTCCCATGGGCTCACCACTCGTGGGAGGGGCCAAAGGGGTCGGGTGCAGTGTGTGACGGGTGGTAGTCGAGGGCGGGGACCTTGGCGGTCTGATCCTCGGCTACAGAAGCTGGCTCTCGGCACATGGAATGTCACCTCTCTGGTGGGGGAGGAGCCTGAGTTGGTGTGTGAGGTTGAGAGGTTCTGACTAGATATAGTCGGGCTCACCTCAACGCATGGCTCTGGCCCTGGAACCAGTTTCCTTGAGAGGGGTTGGACTTTCTCCCACTCTGGAGTTGCTCCCACTGAGAGGTGCCGAGCAGGGGTGGGCATACTAGTTGCCCCCCATCTTGGTGCCTGTACGTTGGGGTTTACCCCAGTGAATGAGAGGGTAGCCTCCCTCCGCCTACGTGTGGGGGGACGGGTTCTGACTGTGGTCTGTGCTTATGCACCAAACTACAGTTCAGACTACCCACCCTTTTTGGAGACCTTGGAGGGGGTGCTGGAGGGTGCTCCTTCCGGTGACTCCCTCGTTCTGTTGGGGGATTTTAACGCTCACGTGGGCACCGACAGTGAGACCTGGAGAGGTGTGGTTGGGAGGAACGGCCCCCCTGATCTGAATTCGAGTGTTTTGTTATTGGACTTCTGTGCCAGTCATGGATTGTCCATAATGAACACCATGTTCAGACATAAAGGTGTCCATATGTGCTCTTGGCACCAGGATACCTTAGGCCGCAGCTCGATGATCGACCTTGTTGTTGTTTCTTCTGACCTGCGGCTGCAGGTCTTGGACACTCGGGTGAAGAGAGGGGCGGAGCTGTCAACTGACCACTACCTGGTGGTGAGTTGGCTCAGATGGTGGGGGGAGGATGCCGGTCAGACCAGGCAGGCCCAAACGTATCGCGAGGGTCTGCTGGGAACGTCTGGCAGAGTCTCCTGTCAGAAGGAGCTTCAATTCCCACCTCCGACAGAACTTCCAAAATGTTCCGGGGGAGGCGGGGGACATTGAGTCTGAATGGATCCTCAACTCAACTCAACTTTGTAAATCGCGCCTTACAGGCAAAAAGATGCCACCAAGGCGCTACACTGATCAAGTAAAAACATAAAACATTACGTCCAGAAAATAAAAACATCGTATGACAAGATACAGAAAAAAATACAGTGAGTACACAGATTGCTATAAGTAAAACAATAAAACTAGTTGGAAAGGTTAAAAGACAGATCATAAAAGTAGGTTTTTAGCCTTGCCTTAAAATCCGCAACAGAGGTGGAGGCCCTTATGCTGAGAGGAAGCTCGTTCCAAAGCTTAGGACCTGCCACAGCAAAGGCCCCATCACCACGTGTCTTTAGGCGCGTTCTTGGGACCGAGAGGAGCATGAGGTTCTCCGAGCGGTGTGACCGTGCAGGGCTAATAATAATAATAATAATAATAATAATAATAATAATACATTTTATTTTAAAGCGCCTTTCTGGTCACTCAAGGACACGGTACAGAATAAAAACACAAATCATTCAGTAAGTAAACATACGTAAACATGAGCAAACAAGGCCCTCTAAAGATATGTGGTTATGAAGAGGTGAGTTTTGAGTTGTTTTTTGAATTCTGTGAATGAGTTAATGTTCTTGATGAGAGGGTGAAGGGAGTTCCAGAGTTTGGGAGCGGTGCAGCTGAAGGCTCTACTCCCCATGGTGCTGAGACGAAAGGAGGGCACAGAGAGATGAATGGAGGAGGAG